TCAAGGAAAGTTTTCTGATTAGAGAAGAATTTCAAACAAGATTTGCAAAAAATATAAAAGCACCTAAAGCTTCATGTCAAAGCAGCTGGCATCCTTCTCCCAACCTCATATTCGAATTGTACTTACCAGGGAAGGACTAGCTAGGATGCAGTGGAAATTCCAACAGAAGGGGAGGCCAGAGAGCTCACTCCGCACCCGTAAAATCAGTGTGTCTGCCACATGATCACAGGAGAAGGTAGCTTCGCTAGGGTGAGCAGCATCCTTCAACAATGGGCGAAGCAGATTATCCAAATGACAGAGGAAAGCTGCAGGAGGGGCAGTCAGCCGCTTGTTCAGCTCCTAAAGAGAGAGCAGTGGTACAGGGGAAGGGTGCTAAAAGGAAACGAATTCCGTCTTAAGTAACGGCAATGGAAAGCCCTGGTTAACATGAAGACAAAGGACATGAGAGGAAGGGGAAAGAAGAAACCAAAAAGGAGAGAGTCACAGAGATCTACTGGCCTACTTCACAATTCTGCCTTGGGCAAGATGAACTTACAGAAGGCCTATCAAGATCAAAGGATATATGTTATCATACACGGGGCACAGAAACTTTCTCTCTCTGTCAAAAAAAAAAGAAACTTTCCCTCTCTCTCTCTCTCTCTCTCTCTCACACACACACACACACACACACACACACACAGAGACACACACACAAAGATTCCAGGGCTATAGGTAGAAGTACAGGACATTAACTGGAATTGTCTCAACCCCATTCAACCTTCCTTCGGAACCTACAGACCAGTAAGCTGGTTGGCGTTAACATCCCTTCACTAGGAAAGAATGGGATCCCCCACCACCTCACAGCAGTATTTCTCTTCATACTTACCTTGGCTCGCTGGCTGACCACACTAGTGTCCACCTGTTCATGCCACACCTGTTGAAGATCTGAAACCAACAAGGCATAGCCCTGGTTGGTGATGAAAACCTTGGCCAAGAGGAAGTTCTCAGCAAGCTGTAGCCATGCCCACGGCTGCAGCAGCAGCCCTTGCTCCAGTTCCTCCATCTGCAAGAAAGTCCTAATTTAGTAAAGTGCCTCACGATCATGCTGGCCTAGGAAGGGCACCACCCAAACCACTCTGTATCAACTAAAATCTCAAGAAAATCCTCCCTGATAGAAAGCATGGATTTATGTTCTCCCAGTATACAATCAGCTGAGCACTGACCTTACTACCTCTTGGCCACTAAAAGTATATTTAAAATCTTGAGGTTTTTTTTTTTCCATATTACATTCCTAGAGGGCAAAAAATCTTTCTTCCATAGTGTTTAAGCCTCTGTTAATGTTAGTATGTCTGCTTTCTAATACTATAACATAATGTGGAAACCTAAACCCTTCTTGTTCCATCTCTATCACATTGCTAATAAATTTATGTCACTGCTATCCTTTCCCAGAACTAGAAGAGAAGTAATAGTTCTTGTCTTATAAAACATCATATAGATCATAGTGTCAGGGCCAGGAAATTCAAATTATTTGATCATTATCTAAAAACAAAGTTTAGGAAGCTCTCAGGATTTTTTTTAAATCCCTAAAACCGAGATTCTTCTTCTTTTTTTTTTTTTTGAGACGGAGTCCCGCTCTGTCGCCCAGGATGGAGTGCAATGGCATGATCTCAGCTCACTGCAACCTCTGACTCTGAAATCCTGGGTTCAAATGATTCTGTTGCCTCAACCTCCCCAGTAGTTGGGATTACAGGTGACTGCCACAACACCTGGCTAATTTTTTTGTATTTTTAGTAGAGAAGGGGTTTCTCCATGTTGGCCAGGCTGGTCTTAAACTCCTGACCTCAGGTCATCCGCGTCGGACTCCCAAAATGCTGGGACTATGAGCATGAGCCACCGCGCCTATCCCAAAGCAGAGATTCTTTTTTTTTTTTTGAGACGGAGTTTCACTCTTGTTACCCAGGCTGGAGTGCAATGGCGCGATCTCGGCTCACCGCAACCTCCGCCTCCCGGGTTCAGGCAATTCTCCTGCCTCAGCCTCCTGAGTAGCTGGGATTACAGGCACGCACCACCATGCCCAGCTAATTTTTTGTATTTTTAGTAGAGACGGGGTTTCACCATGTTGACCAGGATGGTCTCGATCTCTTGACCTCGTGATCCACCCGCCTCGGCCTCCCAAAGTGCTGGGATTACAGGCTTGAGCCACCGCGCCCGGCCTAGCAGAGATTCTTAATCTAGAGTCAATGCATGTGAATCCTCTAGAATTGTATGAAAATGTTGTGCGTACATGCATATATGCATGGGGAGGGGGAAGAGGTCTATATCTATCATCAAACTCTCAAAAGGATCAACGACACAAAAAAGAGCTAAGAACTTTTGTCCAGGAGCAACAGAAAAGATCTAAATTCCATTTCAACAAGAACCAGATTGACTAGGAAGTCATGAATACAAGGCAGAGCACATCATAGAGGTAAAGACTGAGTTAACTTCCGCAGAACTCATCCTCCAAGTTCCCACTCCAGTGCACCGCCACCAATGACATCACGCCCAACTGCACAGCCTGGAGGCCCCTACGCCAGCAGCTAAAGTAGTAGCCTTAACCTAGTAGACAGAACTATGGCTGCTTGACAGGGAATGTGATTATTTTTCCTGTGGCGGAGAAAAAAAAGATGACAGTTTCCTTCATTATTCCAGTCTCCAAATACAAAATGAGAAGTACCAGGAAGGAAAAATTTAGAATATAAATAATGAAATTCCTTATTAAGTCTGATTAACACGTCATTTCCATCTCAATCTAAACCATCATTCTTCCAAGCATAACCTAGTTTTCGAAATGTGACTTTATGACTTAACTTGTGACATAAAAATATATATATACACACATACACACACATATATATGGTGATTTTTATTTGTGGCAGCCTCAAAATCTTGAGTGTGGAGAAGAGTGTTTCCGTCACATTTCCCACACCCTGCTCTTACGGGGACCGAAGTGGTCATGGATGATTAAGCTGGTCCTAGCTGGACAAGAGCTCCGCATTGCCAAAGGTTACAAACACAAATAAAGTGGCCAAATCCTTTTATCTCCCTTGCAGGCACTCCCCAGTGTACTCTAAGAGTTGCCAAAATTGGGTTTACTATTCTAGCCCATTCCTTCGGAAAGCCTGGAAGCTCAGAACCCTCAAATTGATGGGTTTTGTTTGTTTGTTGGCTAAAGGGGGAGGAGTTGAAAATGTGGCCACGAGTAAGCGGCCCTATAAAAAGGCCTGATGTTACATTGGGCACCAGACCCGAGCTGCCTGCTCCCACTACACGCGTCCCGTTCTGCGTCCGAAGCCTCTATATTTCACCCTTTTCATTTTGCCTTCAAGGCTGCCTTTAACTTTCACATTAACTAGATTCACGGGTTTAGTTCTCTTGAGAGGAGGAGCGCTGAGGGGCATCCAGGTGGAGAGGTCCCTCGAGAACTGTTTGTCTACACCGAGCTCCGCTCCTCAGCCGAGACCCCTCTGGGCAGTTCCTCCGAAGCCCTGCAGAGGGTAGTAGGGCCCCAGAGAGCATTCAGGCTGGGCCCCGCCCAGTTCCCCCTGGGAGAGCGCTAACCCTAGGTCCCATCATCAAAAGCCCCACCCCAGAAGCCACCAGGCGTCCTGCTTCAATCCGCCCCGGCTAGAAGAGCCTTCACCGTCCGCCTTCCCATTTCTACAGCACTGGCTGCACTGGGGCGTGGTCGGGACCCTTCAAGGGGCAACAAACCGGCCACCTGCAGCTTCGTCGTACCAAACAGGGTGCCAAGGAATAACCCCACCACTCACGCCGGGCCGCAGCCGGCGGACTGCGCAGGCGCGGCCCCGCCCACCACCGGAGGCCTGCCCGGGTACCCAGCAGCGCGCGCTCCCTCCTGGGAGAAAGCGCTCCAGCCAGGCCAAACCCGCAGCGTCTGAGCGGCCCCTCGCTGGCTGGCTCCGGCGGGCCTCCAGCACGAGCCCACCTACCGTCAGCGGCCGCGGGAGCTCCCACCCTCCTTGCCGCACGCACGCGCTCCTGCCCGCCCGCGCAAACCGAAAGGCCTAGAATAGAGGCCGATCTCCACCCCCCCGCCGAGATGAGGCAGGGTTTTGAAACACAGGGGCGGGGCCTATGCCTGGCGTGGGTGGGGCTTCGGGGCCGGGGACAATGATGTGAGAGGAGCACCGCAGTGGCCTGGGTAACTGGAGGAGAGACCGGGTGGCCAGCTAGTAGTCACGCTGGCAGAGTAGAAAGAATAGCGGGCTAGACGGCTGGAGAAAGAAGCCCAGGTTTGGGTTTGTCAAACTCGAGTCACTTCTTTTCCCACCCCTACCTGTCCAGCCTCCTTTTTTTTTTTTTTTTGAGACAGAGTCTCACTCTGTCACCAGGCGCCAGGCTGGAATGCAGTGGCACAGTCTCGGCTCACTGCAACCTCCACCTCCCGGGTTCAAGCAGTTCTCCTGCCTCAGCCTCCCGAGTAGCTGGGACTGCAGGTACGCGCCACCACGCCCAGCTAATTTTGTATTTTTAGTAGAGACGGGGTTTCAACATGTTGGCCAGGATGGTCTCGATCTCTTGACCTCGTGATCCGCCCGCCTCAGCCTCCCAAAGTGCTGGGATTACAGGCTTCAGCCACCGCGCCCTGCCCCAGTCTCCTTTTAACAAAATGAAGGGATTGAACTTCAAGAATCTCTCAGGTCCTCCACCAGCACTAGATTTGAAGGAAGGCGCCTCCCAGGCATAAGTCCCATAGTCTGACCTCATCCTTTACCTCTCCTGCCTCATTTCTCTATCGTTCCCGTACTTACGCTCCCTCACTACTGAGAAATTTCAAATGCCTCAGCTATATTGGACTTTGTACAAGTCACGGCTTTGCTCAAGCTGGACCCCGAACCTAAAAAATTCTCTACAACCATTTTCCAAAACCAAAAATCTTCCCCACTTGTCAAGGCCACCCTCAGTGCTGCTTCTTGCATAAAGCCTTTCCCACTGTCCCCAATCAGAATTCATTATCCTTTCCTCTTTGCTCCCACAGCATTATTTTAATCTATTACAGACTGCTTTCTGCTTTGCATTTTCATAATTACACAGGTCTTTTTAACCCGTGAATGCCTTAAGAGGGCATGGACCCTGTCTTATCTATATCTAGCTCCAGGACCTTGCACATGGAAGATGCTCAATAAGTATTCAAGTGAATGCTGGGGTTCAAGTGGCATTGATAGTACACAGGCAAAAATCTCATTCATTTATGGTCCACTAAATCATGGCCTTTGTTCTGGAACAGTTAGGCCTAATTAAGACAAGTAAAGGCAACCCATCCTATTGGGAAATGGAATCTCTAGGTGGGCCCATGTAATACAAACACATATACCCTTTGCCTATGAGAAAGAACAGCTTGGAGCTGACTCTCCAGCAGATGAGTTAGGGCTAAACTACCCAGGGCAGAAGTAGGAGTGCTGGTCATTTCTGGGACCTGAATCCTTCTCTGCTAGATTCAGGGCATGGCTCCCCTAAGCCAGGCAGCAAGTCTGCCATCTCTTCTGGCTCGGAGGAGCCTCCTTCCTCATCCCCAGGGTCTTCAGGCAGTGGGCAGAGGCAGTGGAGAGGCTGGGGGATGCAGAGACACAGGTTTTGGATGTGGAAAGGAAGTCCGTACACTTGAGCAGCCTTCTCCCTGGACTTCTGAGGCATTCGAGCCTCTTGGGCAGTGAAAGAAGATGGTATCCCTTGACTTAGGCCTCGCTCAAGCTGTGTGCCTGCAAAAGAGAGGTTTGTCAGGCCATTACCCAACCCAGGGAGTGATGGCTTTCTGGCCATTCCCCAGTCTGCTAGGGCCTGGCCTCAACTTACCAGGAATCGTGTTCTCTAGTAGGAAGCCCGAGAGTCCAGCCAGGAAGATGGGCTGCGTCAGCAGTGAATGCAGTAATACATCCAAGGGGCTCCAGCCTATGAAGGGTTGGGGCCAGGCAGGAAGGGAGCTCTGATTCTATATCCAGGCCCAGGAATCTTACCCTCGCAAATGTAAACCTAAGTCTTGGACTAAGGACAGATCTTTCTGAATTGTCATTTCATCCCCCTCACCCTTTGTCTCACTATTCTCCACTTTCCAAATCCAGGCCTTTCCCACAGGGTTTCTGCTCAACACCCTATGTTCTGATCATCCACATACCCTCCATATAGGCTTTGACTGCTCCAGGATCCCTTTCTCTAGAAAGCTTAGTATTTAAGTCGCAACCTCTCATCGCTCTTTTTTTTCTTTTTTTTTTTTATACAGTGTCTTGCTCTGTCGCCAGGCCCCAGGCTGGAGTGCAATGGCACAATCTTGACTCACTGCAACTTTCGCTTCCCAGGTTCAAGCAATCCTTCTGCCTCAAACTCCCAAATAACTGGGAGTACAGGCACACGCCACCACGCCCAGCTAATTTTTATATTTTAGTAGAGACAGGGTTTCACCATGTTGGCCAGGATGGTCTCAATCTTTTGACCTCGTGATCGGCCCGCCTCGGACTCTCAAAGTGCTGGGATTACAGGTGTGAGCCACCGCACCCGGCCTCATCTCCCATTTTTTTTCCTCTATGTTCTATCCTGGGTTTTTCAACCTCAGTCCTACTGACATTTTGGACCAGATAATTCTTTGTTGGGGGTACCGGTGCAGGGGTATGTCCTGTTCATTCTAGGATGTTTAGCAGCATCTTTCTATACCCTAAACACTAGTAACAACCCCCCCTTCCTCCATTTGTAACAGCCCAAAATGCCTCCAGACATTGCCAAATGTCCCCATGGGGGCAAAATCACCCAGTTGAGAACTACTGTTCTAGACAAATTAAGCAATTTACTGCTCTCAGGACATATCCTAAGACCTCCTACTTCTGTGTCTTTGTATAAATGATGGTTCCTCCATCAAGAGTGACCTTCTTCTCACCAAAGATGTTTAAAACTTACCATCCTTCATGACCAGCTCTGTTACTGGCTCACCTCAAACAGAAGCCATCTCTCTTGCCACTGAGCACTGTAGCTCTTTATCTTAACCTGCCCTGTGATTTTCCTACACATCTCATCTCTTTTGCTATACTGTAACAAAGGCAGGCATCTTTGTGTCCCAAATGGCTAGGATGGTGCTCAATAAATATTTGTTAAACAAATGGATGAATTATTTACATCAAAGCCCAGAGAAGGCTGTGGGGCCAGGAGTCAGGGGAGCCTGAAGCCTCAACTCCTTGCTTTCCTGCTCCTGAGCAACTCCTCTTCCATTCCACCTACCTGTGCTGAACAGGATCGGGGCGTCCCGAAACCATCTTGGGAGCAGCAGGGCCATGAAGATGGAGAAGCCCACAATGAAGATATTTCGCCCAGAGTCTATGTCAGCCAGGTAGAAGCTGGAGAATCCAGCAGACAAAACCACAGCCTGGGTCACCCCCAGCACCCCACCTGTCTCATACAGAAGAAATCAAGGGGGTCAGCAGGGGTTAAGGGGGCTCACATAGCATGGAGCATTGCAGGGCAAGCAGGTTGTGATGGGGAAAGAAAACCAAGAGACTGATTT